CAGCCCTGTGAGCATAAAAGACTTTTCAAAAAAACATTACAAAATCTTAATTATTCCAATTTTTTACCGTAGTGTATACAAAAAGATATTTTAAATACCTAACTGAATGTGCATTTTGAGCAGAAAAGAGTTTGAGTGTGTTTTATGTTTGCATGTAAATCATAGTCTTTATTATGACGCCATTGCATTTCCAGCAAGGAACACTTGGTGAGTGATTTTGAGTCTACTTCTTTTTCGAAAGACTGAGAGGGAATTTAAGAGAGGATTCTGTATATTTTCATATTCATTGTTTAACTCTCTTTTGCTGTTTCACTAAACTAGTTGAAGAGTTCAGATGCAAAAGCCTCTAAGTGCCGTCTGAAATTTTCTTCTAAAATGAGCATTTTTATCAGGCACCTATGTGTAGGTTCAGTAATTTCACTTTAATGGCAATGAATAGGTTATTTTATTTGCCATTAAAGTGAAATAACTGAACAGCATAGGAGCTGAGAAAAATGCTCATTTCAGAAGAAAATTTCAGATGGCACTTAGAGGCTTTTGCATCTGAACTCTTCAGCTGTATTTCTGTTTTTGGCCTTGTGATCATTCTGTAGAAACTAGAAACATGACATGAATGAATCTTTCACTCGAAAAAAAGGTCTGTGTAGTTTGACTTTGTGGAATCCCCAATTGTAGACCGGGTGTTAATCACTTTTCTCTCTCTATCCTTTCCCTCGTATCTCTCTCCATCCTTCTCTCTGTTGCCAAAGGTTTTAAAACTCATTACTATTTCCCGGATTAGAATTCAGAACTCAAACAATGAAGTTAATTATGACAGATGATTAGCTGTAAGAGCTCTGGAGTTTTTAAGACATTAGTTGCCAGGGGGTACTTTGTAGGAGCGTGCTGCAACTGAAACCAGCTCAGCTAATCTACTGTGAACTATTTTGCTTTTTGTCAAAACAGAAAAAAAAAAATCTGTTAATAGTAGTGCATAAGTAAAATTATATTTTATTAAAAATGGAGAAGTAGGCTACAGTGTGGTCTCTGCATTTGATCCAGAAACGGCTAATAGGCCTATGTCTAAAATCTAATTTACATTATTTTTCGGTTGCAGTAATTAACTGGCAACCGCACATGGCATCTGAAAATTTCTGAAAAGTCAGTCTATTGATTTTTGATTTATTGATTTATTTATTTTATTTTTTGTTACCTGTTTTATATTCCACCAATTTGTTCAAATCACTGTGGAATAGCAACAGAATGCTTGGCGCTGCATGCACCACTAATAATAACAGAAACGCAGGCCAGAAAAATGTGTCTATCTGCATACTCGTACATCGTGAAAATGCACTGTTTGATGCAGCATTTCAGGCTGATGAAACTGGCCAACAGCTGTTTCCTTGTGTGTTAACAGCAGTGCTTTTAACAGAAAAAAAAACAAAAAAGGCACACACAAAAAACCCCTCACAAAGAAATTCTCAATTATGATAAAACGTTCGAGCTATTATTGATGTAATGGCAACACTGATGTTGAAAAACGTGATCAAGCATCTTTTCTGTCAGTCTCATGTGCCACTACCTGACAGGGAATTTGTCTCATAATTGGGAGAGCCAGAGGGGTAAACTCAACAGAGACACTGTGCAGCAACATCATAGAGCTGTTTCTATCTCTTTCTCTCTCTAATGTATCCTTCTTTTAGTATTATTATTTCTTTTAATTGACGGGGGAAAAAACTAAACTCACAGCTGTGGATTATAAAAATTCACAATAAAACTTTTCAGGTACTTCAGGGAACATTTTGCTGCCTGAATATTTTACATTTCATAACTGTATACTTGAACTACTACATTCAGCTTTATACCTTATAATATACTGAAAACCACTATAATTATAACAACATAAAACAAATTGTAACAATATTTTACATTCACAAGTATGTATTGTCTTAAATAGATACACTATATTGCCAAAAGTTTTTGGACACCAGGTTTGACTACTTTAATAATTTCCATGAGTACAAATCTTAATGTTTAAGCATACAATGATATTCTAGGGAATTATGTGTTTCTAATTTTATAGCAACAGTTTGGACAGGGCCCTTTTCTATTCTAGCATGACAATGCCTCTGTGTATAAGGCAAGGTTCAAAAAGAAATGATTTATGTTTATGTATGATGAATTATGTTTCCATCTTTGTTGCCACAGTTTTGGAAGTACCTTTTTCTCTTCTAAAGAAGGGGGAGTTTCCCAATACTTTTGTCCATATAGTGTAGTTAGTACAAGTCATTGGTGTTTGGTGATGAGTTTTTGGCTCAAGGTCTGCATTTAAAGTCACACCAGAGGTGTTCAGCTGGGATTAGGACTTGGCTTTCTGCAGACCTTTCAGTCTTCCACACTCAATCAATCATTTGTTTTTGAACCTTGCCTTACATACACAGAGGCAGAACTGTTGCTATAAAATTAGAAACACACAATTCACTAGAATATAATTTTATGTTTAAACATTAAGATTTGTATTCATGGAAATTACTAAAGTAGTCAAAACTGTTCATTAGAGGGGGTGTCCCAATACTTCTGGCAATAGTTATGTATGTCACAGTGAAACAGAGGTAGCTACAAATCTCTTCTACCATTTTGTGACATTATCGTAAAAGAAAAAAAAAGGGCGGGGACTCAGTTATTCATCTCATTTCACCGTAAGATTGAGTTGTGATATTTTGATTAAAATTACATGATTAAAAGTTTTAAAAATGAGAATAAATAAAACATGCCTGCATAAATGATTCACGGTAATATCGGTAACATGCATTTAGAAAATGCACTCTTAAAATAAAGTCTCCAAAGGGGGGTTTTTGCTATATGATGCCACAGAAGAAACCTTTTGTGTTCTCCAAAGAACCTCAGTGAACCGTTCTCAAAAGAACCATTTTTTTTTTTTAGTGTGAAGAACATTTAAAGAATCTAAAGAACCTGCTTCCACTATGTGCTATGGAAAGGTTTCATGAATGTTAAAAGTTCTTCATGGAACCGTCAACACCAATGAAGTACTTTTATTTTTAAGAGTAGTTCATATTGACTTGACTAAGGCAGGGTAGGTGATTTGGTTCAAAAACCTTTTTTGTTATGCTGGTTGAAAGTCTCTTCACATCTCGATAGCACTCATTAAGTTAAGTGATCTAAATGTGTTTATATGTATTTATATCGTCTGTGGAAGGCATAAGACCCAAAAAACTTTGTCCAATCAAAATGTTCGGTCCGAACATTATGATAGGCTGTCCTCTGTGCACCCTGTTTGCGCAGACATGATACGTCATCATAAAGGCCTTCTGAAGTAAATCGATACATTTGTGTAAGAATAATATCTATATTTAAAAGATGTAGGGCGTATTGTAAGCTCCAGTGAGAATATGTTTGTCTCACGAGAACCAAGTTTTGTTTACTACAAAGGAAAGCCAGTCTCCTCTTGGCTTATATCGAAATCCGACATTTTTCTTTACAAATCCCCTTTTTGTACTTCTAATTTGTGACCCCCCGGAGCCGTGTGGAACACTTTTTATGATGGATTTATGCACTTTATTTAAGTCACTGCGTCATATACACCTAGGATGGCTTGAGGGTGAGTAAATCATGCGGGTAATTTTTGGGTGAACTAACCCTTTAAGGTTTAAAATTTTTACATTCTTTATTGTTAAAATTACCATTACCATACTGTGTACAGTGTCTTAGAAATTCTTTATTGACATCTGTTCCATGAAGACCCTTTAACATCCATGGAATGGGAACCAAATATTGTTCTTCAATGGCATTGCTGCGAAACCCCCCTTTTGGAACCTTTATTTTTAAGATAGTAAACCAAGATCCCTATTGTAAACAAAGCCCTGTTGTATTTTTTAATATAATGATTTGTATGCAAGGCTGTTGTACATGTAATCCAGATCTACATTTTACCACTGACACTGAATTATAAAAGCCTTTTATTAAACTTTCTCTGCGTTTGATAATAGAATATTTTTCCACACAAATACCAGTTCAGCCACTCTCATCTTTTTCATTTAGTTGATAATCCTCTTACTTTCAAACATTGATAGTGCCATGCAGCAGGTCACAGGGCATTGAGACTCAGGTTTTGTCATGGTAATGAAGCAAGTGAGACGGCGTTTAATTCACAGACGATGAGCTCATATCTTTTAACAGAAATAATAGTTTTTTTAAACCATTCAAATCTGCAAGTCACTTTTTCATCTGTTATTATTTCCATGTATATCTCCCTTGGCTTAAAGGATGCCTTTCATATTTCATTGAGTGATAGCCTGGATTTGTTGAGGATCATTACCATTACAACAGCTCCTGCAGAAATACTGTTATCTTCTCCCATGATATCAAATGATGATATATATCGTGGGGTATTTCATTCCGTCTTACAGACATGATACGATCAGCATGCCATGAGTTTATAATGATGAAGTAGGAAAAAAATATAATTTTAGTCAACCTGCAGTGACACTTAAGTTTGGTTATGTGAGGAAGGGGGAACTAGATATCATGCTTATGCCCAGTCACATATATATACTTCCTCAAAGGAGTAACTTTATTTTGTCACAAATCTGAGCTAAGAATTATTTTCTTCAAGTTTCTATGTAAATCTTAGCTAGGCTACTTAAAAACACAGTAGTATCTGTTTATATGCATGTGATTAAAATACATAAATATATTATAGATTCAATCTATTATATCTGCCATCTATCTAATGTAGGTTCGCGTCTTCGTGTCTGGCCTCACATTATGGGAAGTGCTAGTGTCTATGCAGTTTAGAGTAACTTTGCAATGCTTCATAAAATGTACAAGTACTAAAATGTAGATGCATGTCTTATCGGAGTCATGGAAGCTGGCCTAATTTAAAAAAAACGGGATAATTACTCCCATCAGTAGTGGTAAATCGCATTTCTAACCATTAGAATTTAGTGTACGCTGCTAACTAACTGCGCTTGTTATTAGAACAGATGGTTTGAGAGGAAGTTGTGTGCGCATGCGCAGTGCGCCTGCATAGAGCTGAAGCGCAGACAGCGCTATGAGAGACGAGAGAGAGAAAAACACCCCTTATCTGTAGAGAAAGACTCAAAAGTTCACTCGTTTCGCACAAAATCCTTTCTACGACTCACTCAGGTCACATATCGTACCGTGTTTCTATGTCTGTGATGCGGAGTGTCTGAGAGGTTTGTAACATTATTTTTTTTCCTGTATTTTAACCACCGCTCTGCGCACTGACACAAAGACAGATGCTTACTCGATCTACAACCATTACGTGCTGCTTTGGCACAAACAAATCAAGATTCGTGCGGGGTTTAGTAGAAGGATCTTTCTTTGTTTTGGCCGTAAAGCAGCATTGTTGACTCTTTGTTATGGTTCTGTCTCTTGTTTGGGCCGTGCATGAAATGTAGGCCAAACGAGACGAGCCTTGGTTTGCTAACTTGGTTTCTTGACACTTTTTCTCTTCATTTTCCGCATCAGTTGCACTGCAATCGGATCTAACGCAAAGGCGACAACTGTACGGCGCTCACATGTATGTACAAACTTGCTCGAACGCGGTAGGAAACGCGGTTATCGAATTATAACACAAACTTGGGACGGATGGGGCTGGTTTCGTAGCGCATTACAGCGATGTCCGAATCGCGAACGAATCGCTCTTTTGAGTCGGATCTTATTAGTGAGTCGATTGATCCGGTTCTCAAAAAAACGATTTGTTCGCGATTACGGAATCGTTTGGGATTCTTAAGGATTCACTCGAAATGAGCGTATTGGTCATCGAGAACCGACTCTTTCGGACTCGATTGACATATTAATTCGAGAACTTCTCTTTCAAATATGAATTATTACTATTTTTATTATTTCAAATGAAATTTCAAATGAAGTTTATTTTGTACAGCACCATTTTAGAAAAAAGAAAAACAAAGCTCCTAAATTGAAACAGGAAAAGGGGGGAAAGCGAGATTTTTTTTGCTGACGATGGCTAGAGAGTTGATACATTAACAATATCCTGACTGTCTTTGTAACTGAAGATGGAGAAAACATTTGATGTTTTGATGTCTGTAATACTCTTAAGAGTTGTGAATCATAAATCGGTCAATATTTTAAACATTTTTAGAGAGAAATTGTTTTGGCCAATAGCCATGTCCACTTGAACACAGGGTTCTTCCTGTTTGAAGTTATTCTGTTCCAAATACACCAGCCTTTAACCTTAGTTACAAAAACAAAAATTCTTTCATCCATTTTTTGTGACTTGAGTAAGTACTCTATTAAATAATGGTTCGTTTCATCTATGGTATGTGCATCTCACTTTACTTTCTTTAAGTTGTACTGTATCTGTCATTATATCAGCCATCCGCCATGCTCCAGACTTTGGCATTGGCCGTTGAAACATTAGGGGCACTGCAATGGTTGTTTTCATTTATGTATTTTAAGTGTTTTGTGTCTGTTTTAGATTTGATGTTCTCTCTCACAATTGGCTTGTCCCTTCCTGTGTTCTGCATCATTTAAGCAAACATCATGATGTCCTTTGCACTTTTTGCTGTGTTCTGCACGTTCTTGGATGACAGAACGTTCCCACTCGTTTTTTCAGCTGGTTCTAGATCATCTCGTTCACCCAACCCGACATTTACATGCCCATATCAGCGTTATGATGTCACTTGTCTGTAGTCAGAAGTGTAGGCTGCAAAACAGTGAGGACAGAACTTGCTGCTGTGCCAGTGTAGATGTGGTGTTAAAATGCTGTTATTCCTGCCAGGGTTCATTGAGTCTCTGCTGAGAGTGGCATCCCACAGAACTGCCCTCATCTGCCAAGCTCTCCGCTCTGGAAGGCTCGCAAAACTCCCACAAGTGAGATTCAGCATTCTGACTGAGGTGAGTGTGTGCGCTTTTTTCATGAGGTCAGTCGTGGCGTGTAGACGAGTTAAATGATGACTGGATTGTAGAGATTGGTGAATTCTGATTTGTCATGTACCCACTAATATGTTTCATCCAATACAAGTTAAACTCAATTGACTGCATTTGTAGCATATGGTTGATCACCACAGTAAATTAATCAATAAATCATCTCATCAGGTTTGCAATGGAATCCATTTTTTTTTGTGTTATCAGGATGACGTAAGGCTGGTCATAATCTGCATACATTCACAATATCTAAATATGAAAACTAATCCCAGTGAAATCAGTTTGCATGATCACATCATGGCAACATTCACAGATTTTAGTTAAGTGACTAATAACTAGCAGATCATTCACATAGAAAAATAGTTTTCTACCTATAAACAAATTTACAGCTGAAATAATATTATTATGAGTTTATCATATTGTTTGCATTCCTTTCTGCGATTCTTGCAAACTGCTGGTGAAAAAAAGTGCTGGCGATTGATTTTTTTTTTTCTGAATATTTTGGAAGTACTATATGTTGTTGTGTTTTTGTGTTCCAAGTGAAGGTAAATGCTGTAGAGTTTTGCTGATTTTCACGACATGGATGCATGTTTGGTTAATTGTGCGTCTGTGTTTAGGATGGCTTGTTTTGAGGCTGAGGTCAGTATGCACTGTTAGTCATTGTTTCCAGTCACTCTGACGGCTGTGTCTCTGAGCTTGAGCCCAGGGATGACATGGAAACACAACCTGCTGATCTCTGAACACAAGGTATTATTTGGCATTATCTATTCTCATTGTATTACTCTGTTTGTGCTGATCATCTGTTTCTCTTAACTATGGCATCTACAGTATCATTCAAAAGTTTAGGGTCACTAAGATTTGTTGTTGTTGTTGTTATTAAAAGAAATGAACACTTTCACTTCACAAAAGTGACAGATTTTTATAATGTTACAAATTATTATTATTTTTTAATAAGTGATGTTTACTGAATTTTCTACTCATCAAATAATCTGCAAACAATCTCTCCACAAAGTTTAAGCAGCACAACTGTTTTCAACATTGATAATAATAATAAATGTGCCTTGAGCAGCAAATCAGCATATTAGAATGATTTCTAGAGGATCATGTGACTCCGAAGACTGGAGTACTGATGCTGAAAATTCAGCTTTGCATCACAGGAATAAATTTCAATTTTAAATGTATTAAAATAGAAAACTTCTATTTTACGATGTAATAATAATTTTCATGATATTACTGTTTTACGGTATTTCCTGTCAAATAAATGCAGCCTTAATGAGCATAAAGACTTATTTACAAAAACTCTTACAGACCCCAAACTTTTCTACAGTACTGTAACATTAGAAATGTAATAAGCCACATGATTTGATACCTCAAATCTTGAGGAGAGGTGTTCTGTGGCTTTTCTATGTCTATAAATCACCCTGAAGACCTTATCGTATGTTGTATTCTTCATTTGTAATTCATTTAGAATAAAAGCATCTGATAATAAATGAATAAATGTAAATGCAGTGTTTTTTCTTTTTTCAGTAATTGCAAAAGTCTAGTTTCTTTGTAGGCTAAAGGTATAATTGACTGCATTTGGTGTTAGCAACCACTCTATATAAACTTTGACCTAATAGTGTACCTCACTTGTGATTATTTATAGACGTTTGAGAGAGCTGCCTTGTGATTGTAACCAGTTCTCGTATTGGGAAATCATATTGACTCACTGACCTGTTTTGACTATAGTTGCACAGTTTTGTCTTGGTTTTGTGTTTAGGCCGAGCAGTGAGCTAAATCAGGGACGTGGAAGGGTGAAAGCAGGCCATGTCACGGGTTCCCACACCCCCTCCCCCAGGGGAAATGACATCAGGACCTGTGGCGGAAAGCTGGTGTTATACACAGGTGAGAGAGACTGGCTGAATGGAAAATGAATCGTTCTGAGTGGAGAACGCCAGTCATAAATATCCCTCTTTTTTTATTTGTATCGACAGGTGAAAGTTGTGAAGTTTTCTTACATGTGGACGATTAACAACTTCAGCTTCTGTCGGGAGGAGATGGGAGAAGTCGTAAGGAGCTCGACCTTCTCCTCAGGCCCCAACGACAAGATGAAATGGTGTGTTTCATCGAGTGTTTGTCGAAAGCTCTCAAGCGGCCTCTTAAAGGTAAAGAATATCTCTTTGGATTTGAGACTTTAGTCTTTGCAACTTTACAGATCTTCTTTATGCACCAAGAGCTTGTAACACTCCAAAGAGAAAGGAAAAATTGAAATCTCATCATATGACCCCTTTAATTCTTCTCTGTAATGCCTCACCATCCTGCCCAGCCAAACACACTCACATACACCCACAAATACAGGCTTGACCTTTCCAAATATCATTGTTTGTGAAACAACAGTGGCCCATTTTGATTTAGGTTGGGTTTTCATTGAGCCGTCTGGGACAAACTTTGAGATTCGCAAAAGATTTCTTTTGTCACTGACAGCTGATTAATTGCTTTACGATGAATCTTGTCTCTGATGAAGATCTGACTCTTGCAGTACTGCAATTGTTGACTGCTCCTACGACGGCCGTCGCCAGACTAAAAAATGGCTGAAGAGCCAATAAAATTACACATTTATGAGTCATATAACATATTTTGGTTGCCAAATTACAGAATTGTGTGGTTAGGGATGTTCAGAAGCAGCGTTGTACATGCTATTTCACTGGTTTAAAAAAAATAGATCTTTACATAATACACTGCCGGTCAAAAGTTTGGAATAATTAAGATTTTTATTTGTTGTTGTTGAAAGAGAGAGTTGGCATTTATTTGATCAAAAGTGACAAAGGTTTCCACAAAACTATTAAACAACAAACTGTTTTCAGCATTGATAATAATAAGAACCATTATTAATAATTGGTAATGATAATTGAGCAGCAAATCAGCATATTAGAATGATTTCTGTGAAACTGAAGACTGGAGTAATGGCTGAAAATTCAGCTTTGCCACCACAGGAATAATTACATTTTAAAATATATTCGAATAGAAAACAGTTATTTTACATTGTAGCAATGTTTTACAATATTCCTGTTTTACTGTATTTTTAATCAAATTAATGCAGCCTTGGTGAGCATAAGAGACTTCTTCCAAAAACACAAAACATCTTAGCATTTTATTGCATATGGATACATAGTGTTTTCTAATTATTATAAATTATTTTAAATTATTAAATCAATTTTAGATTTTAAACTCTTTTTTTTTTTTTGTAATGCTGACATTTTTTAACACGCGCTCCTATTATTTATTGAATTTTTTTCTGCAGGTGTTTGCGAGTGAACCCAAAGGGTCTGGATGATGAGAGTAAAGATTATCTCTCTCTGTACTTATTGCTTGTCAGTTGCCCAAAAAGTGAAGTGAGAGCAAAGTTCAAGTTTTCTTTACTGAACGCCAAAAGAGAAGAAACTAAAGCCATGGGTAAGAGCTTTCTGTACGTTCATTGGGTTCCAAAATTTCTCAAAATGTCCAAAAGTTTCTGAAAGTTCCCAAAAAAATCCTGGATGATTTCCTAAAACATTTGAAAACTTTCCAGAAATGTTCTGCCCTTTTGCAACCCCAGACGTTCACAGGGTTGAGTTTGGTAATGTGGAATAGCAAATGTCTTATTTGTATTAATACTTTTTTTTTTTTCTCCCCACACTTCAGAAAGCCAAAGAGCCTACCGCTTCGTCCAGGGAAAGGACTGGGGCTTCAAGAAGTTCATCAGGAGAGATTTCTTGCTGGATGAAGCTAATGGACTTCTTCCTGATGACAAGCTCACTCTGTTCTGTGAGGTACCGTAACATGTAAGGTTTCATGTATACTCAATGCTTTGGTGTAATAATGTCCTTCCTTCAAACCAGTGACTCATTTGTTTAGGTGAGTGTGGTTCAAGACTCCGTAAACATCTCTGGCCAGTCAAACACAAACATGCTGAAGGTTCCGGAGTGTCAGCTTTCCGACGACCTGGGTAACCTGTGGGAAGGCTCCAGGTTTACAGACTGCAGCTTGTTCGTGGGAGGGCAAGAGTTCAAAGCGCACAAATCCATACTGGCAGGTGAGCTTAGTCATCCCAAAACGCCATTGACAGACGTTTGGGGTAGACCCAGATTTGCCTTGCTAAAAAGACAAGCTGCACAGACAATAGAGAATGTTAATGAGGCACATGATGAATTTGGCAGTACTTTGCACACAGATGATTCACTTGAAACTGATGATTCATGTTTCCTTTGACAGCGAGGTCTCCCGTATTCAATGCCATGTTTGAACACAAAATGGAGGAGAGTAAAAAAGTAAGTGATAAGATGTACACTACCAGTCAGAAATGGACAAACCTACCCTTGATTCTTTAGAATTACGGTTTACTACATTTTAGAATTGTAGTAGTTCTAATATATGTAGTAATAAAAATATTTTATAGAATTTTAAACTATTATTTTTAGGCTATTTAATTATTTTAAACATTTTTCTTTATTTCATTATTGAAATAACATTATAAAATCAAATTATATTATAAAATACACTGCCGTTCAAAAGTTTGGGATAAGTACAATTTCTTTAAAGAAGTTTCTTATGCTCATCAAGGCAGTATCTGTTTGATCAAAAATACAGAAACAAACTGTAATTTTGTATAATATTGCAATTTAAAATAACAGTCTTCTGTTTTAATATACTTTAAAATATAATTCATTCCTGTGATGCAAAGCTGAATTTTCAGCATCATTACTGCAGTCTTCAGTGTCACATGATCCTTCAGAAATCATTCTAATATGCTGATTTATAATCAGTGTTGGAAACAGTTGAGCTGCTTAATATTTTTTTGTGACCCGTGATACTTTTTTTCAGGATTCTTTGATGAATAAAAAGTTAAAAAGAACAGTGTTTATGCATCACAGAAGAAAAATGATTTTAAAGTATATTAAAATCGGAAACCAATATTAGAAACTGCAATAATATTTCACAATATTACTGTTTTTTTCTGTACTTTTGATCCAATTAATACAGTCTTGATGAGCATAAGAGACTCCACTGAAAAATATAAAAAATCGTACTGATCCCAAATTTTTGAATGGCAGTGAGTGTATATATTACAAAATAAAAAAACACACATATAATGTGTAAAATTTTATACTAATCTAGAAATTTTCTATATATAATGTAATATAGTATGTAATGGTATGTAGTAACAGTGTGTGTAAAATAAACAATAGACATACATATTTATTTATTTTACACACTATAAAAGTCAAATCTTTAATTCATTATGAGGAGGCTCTCTGTAACAGTTTGTCTGTAGAGAATGTGGCTGACATCCTCATTCTGGCTGACCTGCACAGCGCAGAGCAGCTTAAAGCACAAGCCATAGACTTCATTAATAGGCAAGTACACACACTCACTCAATATTATAAGAATCCTTTGTATACTTTACAATTCTTTGTTTTCCGAACACTTAAACATAATTGTATTTACATTGTAAATATTTGCTAATTTAATGACTCTGGTTTAATTGGGCTGTTTTAAAAGGATACATGATGGTAGAATTTAGAGCACAAATGTGACCCTGGACCACAAAACCAGTCATAAGGGTCAATTATTCATAAAACTGAATAAATAAGCTTTCCATTGATGTATGGTTTCATTGATGTATGGTTTGTTAGGATAGGACAATATTTGGCCGAGATACAACTATTAGAATATCTGGAATCTGAGGGTGCAAAAAAAATCTAAATATTTAGAAAATCTCCTTTAAAGTTATCGAAATGAAGTTCTTGGCAATGCATATTACTAATCAAAAATTAAGTTTTAATATATTTACAGTAGGAAATTTACAAAATATCTTCATGGAACATGATCTTTACTTAATATCCTAATGATTTTTGGCATAAAAGAAAAATCAATAATTTTGACCCATACAGTGTATTTTTGGCTATTGCTACAAATATACCCCAGCGACTTAACACTGGTTTTGTGGTCCAGGATCACAAATTATTGTTATTATTGTCTTCCATCAATCAAGCCTTCATGTAAATCATACTTTTATTTTTGTATGGTCCCAATTTCACTTTGCATAAATGAACGATTTAAAGCAAAGGCAATTGTATCAATTGTAATTATTTGTGTGACAGTTGATGGGTTTTTGAATATGTAATGGTGACAGCGGCGGCTGGATTCTGCTCTGGTCTCTTTCCTCAGATGCAGTGTTCTTAGACAGCTGGGCTGTAAAGATGGGAAGAACTGGAATAGCAAGTATGTGTGCCAACATGCTACCATATCCCAGAGTCCTTTGCAAATAAAAAGCACCAAACACATCTGTATTTAACAGGAAGCTCCAGTTTGCATAGTAATTATGTGACTAAGATATCCGTAAAACAAAATGATTCATGGCACAGCTTGTGGAGAGTTTTTTTTATTTTTCTGCCATTCTTGTTGTATGATCACGTTTAAAAAAAATGTTCTGGGCTCGATGCAGTCTAGGCATTGTTGACAGCAAAGTAACTGAACAAACTTTTTATCTGTGGTAAAATCACTGTAACATAAGGACATGGGTAGCTTTTAAAGCAGTAAAATATATTTTATTAAAAAAAAAAAAAGCAGTATGTTCTTTTTTTTTATTATTATACAAAACCTTTCAAAAGATCTTTAAATCTTTTTATGCTCGCCTATGGCAGAATTTATTTGGTCATAAATACAGTAAATCAACAATATTGTGAAATATTATTATAATTTAAAATAACTGCTTTTTATGTAAACCGATTTTAAAATGTAATTTATTCCTGATGGCAAAACTATTTCAGCATCATCACTCCAGTCTTCAGTGTCACATGATAATTCAGAAATAATTCTAATGCTCAAGAAACATGTCTTTTTATTATTAATGTTGAAATTGTTCATTTATGTTCTCCAGATCGTTTTGCACCATTGTTGTACTGTATATGCAGTATTTCTTTTTACAAACCACATGCCACAGATGCTGTGGATAGAGCTTAACTTGTTTTGAACCCAGAACATTCCTTTAATTAGCATGATTTCCCTGAATTAATGAAAATCCCAGATTATATTTACTCATTTCATCAGCGTGTGACGAATGTTATGTCATTTATAGATCGTAACCTTCAGGCTTGTTTTTGCTCATTCGCAGTAATGCCGCAGACATAATGGAGACCGCAGGTTGGAAAGCGATGATTCAGTCTCATCCTCACTTAGTGGCCGAGGCATTCCGGGCTCTCGCTTCAGCCCAGTGCACCCCTTTTGGTCTGCCTAGGAAACGGCTAAAACAGTCCTGACCTTTGCCCTCACAGACTGCTTAGAACAAAACGCATGAGGAGGCAACTACCCCACCAAGCCCTATTTCCCCCTCCTTTTTGCCCCCTTCTTCACTCACCCGTCACCCTTACCAGAGACCGGATAAAGGAGCTAGTTCAAACCACAGTGCTCAAAAAGAAATGGACTTCGCCATGCTGGTTACTTAGGGCATCATTTCAAAAAATGGCCTTAAAGGATCTGCCCCTTCGCTCCTTGGTGTCTCTACTTGTAGCTACGTGCCTGCTGCAACTGATCCCAGACCTGTCTGGACTGCACTAGCTCCCACATAATGCAGTAGTTTTAACATGGTGGTGTTTAGGACCTTATATGTTACATGTTCTTGAGGGGGAGGGTTGCATTAGCCCTTCTTGTGAACTTGTGGTCTGACGTTTAAAAAATAAAACAACAACACAAGTATACACTCACTAAACGCATACCCACGCACACGCATCGAGTGCAAAGATCATCTCCACTGACACTTTTAAAGTGATGATGTTGCTGGCAGAATGTCACATTGTATGTCTATCAGCATTAAAATTGGCGTAAGTATTAACTGAGGTCGTGCTGTAGAATACTTGGTGAAATGTGATGAAATTCACATTATGAGTATTACACGAGAACGGCTAAAGACGTCGATATTTTGCACCAACTTAAACTAATGGTAAATATGAAGATTTGTTTACCGTGTTGTTTACAGAACTTGTTTTCCCCTTTTTCGCACATAGTTTTGACTTTAGTTGAAGTTATTTTCCATGGTTTAACATACTCTATGGATCAGGAGAGTTCTTTGTGTTTGAAAAAAAAAATGTATTGTGGTTCAAAAGAAGTTTGATTTATTGCTTTGGAAATAAAATGGTGAAAAAATGTCCTGGTCTTACTGTGATCTTTTTTCCTCCTTTTCTTTATTCATGTGTTTTTTTCATCTGTCTCTAAAAAAAGCTTACCTTTTTGCCTGATGTCACCAAATCCTCTTCTTTGAACAGCCATGTAGATCAGATTTCATGACCCATAAAAAAGAAAACAAAAAAGCCAAATAACAAAAGAATCATGTTGACTTAAACATTTAAAATGCACTTTTTTTGTTAATTAATATTGAATTTGTTGTTCAGCAAAATGTTTTGAGAAAAATAATTTGTGATTCTTCCCATCATGGAAAGTTTATCAAAATGACCATTTATATATTGTCTATTTTAAATATTGTTTTTATTGGCACAATTTTCCAGTCAAAAGCCTTCAGTTAGCTTTCAGTTGGCAGATTATAATATTTAAGGAATACATACTATATATATATATATATATATATATATTACAATTCTGTTCCAATTGTAATGGTTTTAGCTTTATTTTGATTGTTTTGTTTTTGACGGCAAGTTTGGAAACTTTTTGAAAGTTTCAGAATATCAGTACCTTTAAAAACTCTCCTGTCAAACCATGTGTGGAGCTGTATGATCTTTACGGTACACTAGCATGTTGCAAACTTATTCGCTTCGGCCTGTGGCTTCAAAAATCATTTGAATGAACTTCTATAAATCTTCTCTTCTTTTTTAGTCTTTAAACATCTGGAGACGACTTAAAATGAGATTAAAGCCAGCGAGCTGCAAATCCTCAAACGCCCTGTTCATCAAGCCATGAGATTACAGACTCTCACCGACATTTTGTGTACATTTTTCAGATCAGAGTTTGTGCATATAGATCACAAATACCTTTGTGAATGAAACCATTTTTTTTTTCCTGCTGATGTGAGAATGTCATATTTGTTTTCATAGGGCAGAATTTACAGAGGTTAAAGGCTGTTCTGCAACGAGACTTTTTAAGAAGATTTTGTAACAAATGTGGTACAGAGTTGACTGCTCAAGTTTTGTCTGACTTTTTTTGTTTGTTTGCATCATCTGTGCAAGGATTTTTATCCAACTTGTGAAGTTGTACACCAAAAATCTGCTGACAGTCTTTGAGTCAAAGAAGAAACTACACAAGGGAGCATTCTGGAAATTTAAATCTTGTCTTTTCTTTAATAACTGAAACAAAATACAAAAGAACTGAGGAGCACATTATGGTTTTAACATTAATCTGAGTTATTGACAATGTTTCTGTGAACACAAAAATATGTTGGCATGAAAAGGAGGGCATCACAAATGGCTGCAATACAAGATGTTTTACATTGTTCTGTTCTTGAATCCCAGCTTATGTTGATTGGGAAATTTGTTTAGGATCTTTTAAAACTTCACACTGATGACAACACAAGAGTCACTGAGAAAGGGTCAGGGGTCACTGTGGAAACCATAGATGTGTTGGTCTTGTCCAATCTAAATGTCAACCACACGAACCAGCCTTCAGGAATTCAGGTCTTAAGCCTGGATTCACCCAAAAATAAAACCATTTCTCATTCACTCATCCTCATTTTGTTCCAGACTTTTTTCTGTGGAAAATTTTTTTTTTGGGTGAACTATTCCTGTCATCGACTGCCTTAGGAGGACCAGCAAGATAGAATCATCTGACCTTGCTTCCATTTATCCGGTTCTTTATGGAACAGAAGAAGGAAACTACAGGCTAGAGAGGCTGTAACAATGAAATGACACCTCAGTTACCTCAACACATCCAATCTAGGCTGTGCTATCCCACAGAGGTATAGGGAGTGTCACTGTGGTAGTTGTAGTCTGGGCAGACCTTCTGTACTAGCTTGTAGTCAGCACTGAAGAAGTCAATGTAGATGCAGATGACCTTGAAGGGCTTGGAGCAAAGCCAAGACACATGGCTTTGGGTCTGTTCCTGGAAACATACCTCCTGCTGATGTGAGAATGTCATATTTGTTTTCATAGGGCAGAATTTACAGAGGTTAAAGGCTGTTCTGCAACGAGACTTTTTAAGAAGATTTTGTAACAAATGTGGTACAGAGTTGACTGCTCAAGTTTTGTCTGACTTTTTTTGTTTGTTTGCATCATCTGTGCAAGGATTTTTATCCAACTTGTGAAGTTGTACACCAAAAATCTGCTGACAGTCTTTGAGTCAAAGAAGAAACTACACAAGGGAGCATTCTGGAAATTTAAATCTTGTCTTTTCTTTAATAACTGAAACAAAATACAAAAGAACTGAGGAGCACATTATGGTTTTAACATTAATCTGAGTTATTGACAATGTTTCTGTGAACACAAAAATATGTTGGCATGAAAAGGAGGGCATCACAAATGGCTGCAATACAAGATGTTTTACATTGTTCTGTTCTTGAATCCCAGCTTATGTTGATTGGGAAATTTGTTTAGGATCTTTTAAAACTTCACACTGATGACAACACAAGAGTCACTGAGAAAGGGTCAGGGGTCACTGTGGAAACCATAGATGTGTTGGTCTTGTCCAATCTAAATGTCAACCACACGAACCAGCCTTCAGGAATTCAGGTCTTAAGCCTGGATTCACCCAAAAATAAAACCATTTCTCATTCACTCATCCTCATTTTGTTCCAGACTTTTTTCTGTGGAAAATTTTTTTTTTGGGTGAACTATTCCTGTCATCGACTGCCTTAGGAGGACCAGCAAGATAGAATCATCTGACCTTGCTTCCATTTATCCGGTTCTTTATGGAACAGAAGAAGGAAACTACAGGCTAGAGAGGCTGTAACAATGAAATGACACCTCAGTTACCTCAACACATCCAATCTAGGCTGTGCTATCCCACAGAGGTATAGGGAGTGTCACTGTGGTAGTTGTAGTCTGGGCAGACCTTCTGTACTAGCTTGTAGTCAGCACTGAAGAAGTCAATGTAGATGCAGATGACCTTGAAGGGCTTGGAGCAAAGCCAAGACACATGGCTTTGGGTCTGTTCCTGGAAACATACCCTGTTCGGGAAGTCGCTACAAACGGACGTCCTCTTGCTGCGGTCCGTCTTCTCGTATTCCACTCGACAATTGAAGGCCTTATTGTCTTTGGGTACCTCTATGGTCTCCTGTTGAGTGATCTCAAAATCGACAGCCTTGGAGGGCGGGACCAGGCTGACGGACACGTTGCCCAGGCCGGTGGAGTTGTGGCGGAAATAGACGCTAAAGGTTCCGTTGCCATGGTCAACGATTTTCCCAGTAATGAGAAGGTTTAGCTTGACCGTTTTAATGTTCGAATGGAAGTCGCCCCAGCCGAACATCTTCTTAAACTTGCCCGTTTTCACATAGGGGCGACGTTTGGCCCTCGAGAGGGTTCCTTCGGTATCAGTGTGGTTGGATAACCAAGCCCACAGATCCAGTGCCCCGGGATCCGGAGCAGTTTCACGGCTCTGGCTGTTAGATTGGGACGTGTGGGAGAAAAGCCGCAGGGATTTGAGAAACCCTGAACTAGAGCCATAAGGAGAGACACTTTCCTCCTTATCGCTCTCTTCCCAACCCAGAGGAGACACAGCTGCTCTGAGCTCTGCTCCACATGTCACCTTCAAAGACAAAACCAGGAAGAGAAATGTTAAACGAAGAGGTTGTAGATGCTAATGTATCTTAAGAAAAATAAAGATCCAATCCAGTCCAGTGGACAAACATAAAGGTTTTTCCCAAAGACATTCAAAAACTACTCTACTTCCATATTTCTGCAGAACTTTTATCTATTGAGTTTTAACTGTGCAAATAAAAAGCAAAATTTCAGACACACTTTGGGGTTTCTACGATTATTACACTAGTGGAACCCTTCGGAGAACTGCTAGGATACCTTCTGAAGGTGCTTCAGATATGCTAGTGTGTACACAAGGAACTTTCCCTTATGATGGGGTTGCTGGAGTTTCCACACTCAAAGTACTTTACTGACATTTATGATTCCATGAAGAACCTTTAATATTCATGGAATCTTTCCATTCCACAAAAGCCTCTTTATAGTGGATTTTTCAATTGTTCTTCACTAAGAAAAATGGACGCTGATAGGTTCTTTGGGGGAACCAAATGGTTCTTCTATAACATCGCTATGAAAGCTTTACTTTTAAGATTGCAATATAAGAGTTCTTGCAGGAACTAATTTCCATTTTGAATGTTCTTCAGAGAACTTCCCTTTTAGAAAGGGTGCCTAGAGGTTCTCCAGAGGGTTCTACCAGCAATCTAAGAAACCCTACATAATGCCTCGAGCATATTTACATGAAAAGTGGTCAATCCATACCACTGTTAAAATGAGAAGATGCTTGAGGCACCATCCTGTCAAACCAGAAAAACACTCTAGGAAATTGTAGGAACACTTTTTAGGTCGCCTCAAATACCTAGACCACAAATGTGTACTAAGAAAGAAATGAGTTGCCTTTAAGCATAAAATATTTAGAGTTAGTGAACACTTATATTAGGTTATTAAGGTTTTAAGAATTCCCCAAATGCCAAACACTGATGTGCATGTCCACATTTACACCTCACATGTGAAATTATAAATTAATAATTACTACAGTATAACATGAATAACATTCCAGCTAGTATATAGACGAAATCAAAGGAGATGCATCACTACATAAATAATCAAAATATAAAAAGGGGATGGGAAACTGAAAGCTGCATGAGACAGCCCTGTTTTAAATGATGCAAACAGGATGTAACATCTCCGAAGTATGAAACTGTTCACTGCAATGCAAGTTTACTACTGACACAATAAACACTATCTACCTCAAGCCTAAGACAGTGACTCCCACACAGTCACACACCCAGCAAAACTGGTTCCTAAAACACACCCATGACTCCTGCTAGCTTTTTTAGTCTGGAGTTTCATATTATTACTACAGCCGATCAATGTGATTACTTTGTTTTGCACTGCAGAAATGGTGAAATATGAATGAACGGAAAACAGCACAGGAAAGACCAAAGGAGCAAGATCAGGGAGGAGCTGCCCTACTCTCATTCTCGCCATCTTTCAACGAAGCTCAAAAGCCTCTCACATATACTTTCAAAGGCACAAATTGATAGAACGAAAGAGTGTATATGTCCCAAAGGCTGTTTAGTCCCCACCTCCCCAAGTCTCAGCTTTCTCCATCATTTCTCTTTCATTTTCATTTTCAGAAATAAAAAAACCAAGGGGGTACATATTTAGGAGACACAGATAATTTGTGTGTTCACTTCATAATTCAAACCCGCGATGGTGAATGAGAAATAAAACCTTCAGTGCGTGAAAATCTGCTGTTTGTTCATTTCAATATCTTGCAAATTCATGATCCACAGAACAAAACAACTACCAACAACCTCTGGAGAGACATGAAATGCCAAATGTATAAAACGAAAAAGAAAAGAAAAAATTAAGCAGAGCAAAAACAGGTTAATTTTGATCAATCATAATAAATCTGTATTACAAAAAAAAAAACACGTATTTAATTATTTTAATTTATTTATAAATTAAGAGATTAGGGACTGAAATAAATACATTTTATTACAGTTCAAGGATGGAAATAAATTAAGGGAAAAAAGAACTAACGATAAAAATCAGACTTTGTGATTGCAGTGAAAACAAACTCTCTTGAGAGAGGACTTAGGGCTGAGCCATCATCACAGGTTGTCATTTCATCTTCATCTGGCTTAAACTGGTTTCTGGGATCAAGTCTTAAACGGTAAGTTGGGTTTGTGAAGTCAATTCATATACATTAAAATTAATATTTGGAAATAAAAACACAATCTCACACACACACACATTTAGTTCTCCTTTGAGAAATAAGCAAACTGATGGATTAAAGCCCTGCGGAAACTGGATTATTCAAAGATTTACAGAGGAAATGAGACAAAAAGCCACGGCATATTCTAAAAGCATATTTGGATTATACAAAGAGTTTTGTCTCTTTCAAAAAAAATTTAATATAATATAATGTATTATTTAAAAAAATAAATAAATTTAACTCATGTTTCGCAAATACTACAATACTTCAAAAAAAAAAAAAAAACGACAATGAAGACGTCTGGTTATTATAGAGATAAGTATTAGTTACAGCAATAATAATTTCCATCTTTCACCAGTAATACACCCTGGGAGAAGAAAAGGTTCATTAACTTTGGCAAACGAAATACTGCAGTAGTCACATACAAAACTTTGCTTTAATTAAAATAATTAAAATAAAATTCATACCATGTGTAAGCAGAGCATAAGCAGGGCAGAGTAACACTGACACATCTTCATGTGTTTTTTTGAGTCCAGATCTGGCTTAGTAAAGATCAGGTCGACTCGTGGCAAGGTCTTCTGTCAGTATTCCTAAAAACACAAAAGCTGTCATGCTTGAAGATATGAGGAAATACATGAAATTAGTGTTAAGAACAAACAAATTGGCAAAAGGCAAACTTTACATTTGCATTAACGGTATAATCATGTTTGCAAATAACAGGTTGAAATGTACATGAATGTATACAAGAAATTATATAAAACTGGTCAAGTTTACTGGCTTAATTAGGCTTCTACCATTTTATTAACCTTTTAACTTTTCTTGCAGCTTCTGTGGTGTGAAAAATAAATGTTAAAAATTACAAACACACCATGTAGACTCTAATTAAATGAAGTCTGACGTTGTTTAAATTAGTTTGAAATGAAGTATAAAATGACACTGCAGGAAACTGCTGTCACAGCTTGAAATATCAAGTACCCGACAATATTGTCAGTACTGAGAAATACTGTATTAAATGAACACGCAATTATTTTGTGAAGAGGATTATAGTTGTTCTTTGTTATATAAATTAATTCACCAGGGGCAACAAACTAAGTAATGCAAAAGAATTACCAAATAAATAAACAAAGAAAATTGTTTAATATTATTAACAATAATTTGTTTCAGAATAACTCACCCTTTTACTGTAGAGTTGGACCCATACATCTCTGTGCGGTGAGCATCCTTACAGTGTAGTTATCGTAGTGCTTAAAGAGATGAAGACAAATATCACTCCTCGACAGTCCAAACTCAAAGTGACCAGCAATAAAAACTTCTTCGCATTTGATTAAAACAATATAATCTTCTTCTTTACTCAGCGTGGCTCGTGTCCAGCTGCATTAAATCCTCTTAGCTCTGCTCATCTGGCTGCATGCCTTTCCACTGCAACACTCACATATCCTAACACGATTATGTTTGGATGTGATTGTCCATCCAAAAGAAAAAATATAATAATAAAACTGCTCTCTAAGCAGTCCCCTGGGTAAAAGTCCAGTTTTGCTGCATCCTTGCCCGCTCGCTCTTCCTAAACTGATGTTGTGTGATGGATCAGTGCGCTTTTGGGTTGTGACAGTGGAGTCACTGAGCCCAACCCCTCAACATCAGCACCAATAACAGCACACATCACGTTTTAAAGCTTTTTTTATTGTATGTAAAGCCATTTAAAACCACGATGTGTTAACTTAGTGCTAAGAAGCACTTTGATGGCTCATAAAACAGCAGAAGACTTGCCTTGTGGGCAGAGTTTATATTTTTGTGTCAAAAGTACTATTCAGAAGCATTTTTGTACTTTTATCATCATGAAACTCTGCAAAAAATAAAGCACACTTTATGTAAATATAACAGTTAATAATTAATAGTTAATATTGGAATAGTTATCGGCTAGTCTAAATGACAGTGAATGTTTCTCAGGGTGGCATGGTAATAAAAAGCTAATGAAAATTTAACCCAAATATAAAAAATAAAATTGAACAGACATTTATCTTACCCTACATAGTGTGCAACTGGGGCTTCTTTTTGATCTTTGACCATGATCTTTTTCCGCCAACCAGGGGTGAAAAAACTGGTCGGCTTCTTAGGAAGCAAAGCAATTTGACATTATTCAAAGCAAGGACAAAACATTATGCTAGTTCTACCATTCCTTTTGGTGTTAGACTGTTCAATGAATGTGATGTGGATGCTTAGGGTCCTTTTTGCAGTTGCACTTGTATGTTTTAAAACTTTTTATGTTTATGTGTGTGTTAATAGATGTATATTTTGCTTATGTGCAAATGTATATCGTTTGTGAGTAGTATTATTGAATTTGTTTTGAAAATGGTATCTTTGTATTTTATGTTTTTTCTTTGCGATTTTATCTTTCAATGTACTTTCTGCTATAATTCAATCTCAGTATTGCTAAGCAGAAGAGTAAATAAACTTCAAACTTTCTTGTCACACTTTATGGGCTAAATTAAAATTGTAGTAATTAAAAAAGAATAAAAATTCTGAAAGACAAACTGCCAAAAATGTAACAGGTAACATTCAAAAATCAAACCATTGTTTTGCCAAACAAATCACTTCTAAATGTGCACAGGTTTATAACATTTAATCCACATTAACAACTTGCCCTAACAAGTATGAAAAAACACCAATTAAAACTACCCTTCATAATATAGTTGAATCAAGTGTAGTGTTATTGTCAACAGCTATGACAAAATATTAGAATTTTGGTTTGGATAATAGAATTCACACAAAATAATTTTAAATATAAGGTTTTACAATAAATGTTTGGGGAGGCAGCTAGTGAAAGCACATTTGTGTAATTAATCCGGACTCAAAACTTTTTACCTTTTCTATATTATTATATTACATATTATATTGAATAGCTGTATCTAAACGATTTGCATTATTCCAATAGAGGTTCCAAAACAGAGGGTTTTCATAGCGGTGCAATAGAAGAACCATTTTGGGTTCCCCAAAGAACCATTTTTTATTTCTTAGGGAAAAGAATATTTTAATAATCCAAAGAACTTTTTTCATAAAGAACATTTTATGCAATGAAAATGTTTTATGGATGTTATAGGTTCTTCATGAAACCATTGATTTCAATAAAGAAGTTTTACAGTGTATCGCTGACTCTGAAGGATATGTATCCATTTAAAACTAGTTTGTGATAAAACCATTTTTGTCAATCTTCTGAAAAATAGAGAAATAGGAAGTCCTGTATTATGCACAGACTCATGTTAGGTGTCAAAATATGACTAAAATGGGAGAAAGTCTATTTTTTAATTTATTTTTAAAAGTCATGTTGTAATAATTAAAAATGGTTTAAGAAACTAAAATATCAAAAAAAAAAATATTTGGTTTAAATACGCAAGTTTGTTTGGAAACAGCTCCACTCTGTGGTTATTACAATAACTGCAGTTCAAGCCATCAGCACAAACAAAAAGATGTTTACGCAAGATTTATTTACTCATGCAAATGCAAACGTTAGAACGCAGACAATTGAACAATACAATAAATATAAGCAGACTTTTTTTTTTCAGAAATCAGATCTATTCATTTAAACAAGTAACAGAATAAACAAATCTCGACAGCAGCGATGCATGTCTCTTCAATTATACAAAATGACTTAACAAATCTAATTGCAGAACTTTCATAGAGACTCATTTGCAGGACTCTTTAATAATCTGGTTCTGATTCTTCACCAGAGTGGCTAACATGGACATGAAGTTGGGCTTCTGCGCGGCAGATTTTGTAACACCAGAGGTAGAGACTTTCCTCTGGTTCCCTCGTTTCATCTTAGGGTTCACGCTGAACAGATCTGGGGGCGTCCTGAACCCATTCGAATCCTTAGAAATCTCTTCCTGCTGCTCATTCTGGAAACCATTCTGACCTTCACGAATCTCTCCACGTTTGTGCTTCTGCCGAGGGCTTTTCCTCTGTTCCGCAGCTTCCACAGCAACAGTTTCAGGCGTGTCATCAAACTTCAGAGCCCGCCGCGTTCCGTCTATGCCATCAAACACTTCCTGATTGTTCAATTTGCCCCGGACATTAGTCGTCCTCTGTTTGCTGGAGGCATTGGAGTTCTGCTTCAACTCTGCATTTAATCTTGAAATCTTCTTATCTACAAGCAGTTTGTCCTCCTGCGTCGCACTGACACTAAGGTTGAGAGGAGAAAGCTGCTGAGATAATGTGTTGTTCAAAGAAAGCTTCCTTTTCACCGAAGATTTCCAGCCAGCAACGGGTGGCCAGACCACAGATCGTGACCTCTTACGATGCCGTGGCTTTGCTTTGGTAATGGACAGGTTGGTCTGAATGGAAAGCAGATACTTGCAGCGACGTAAATTCCTAGATACATGCATACAAAAATTATTTTACTACATATATACGCACAATACTGGAGTATTTTTTTATCTTTCCTTGAATGGGACACCTAATTTTTGGCAATACCTTCAACTTGATTGCACAGACACTATTGGAAGAGAACTGAACTGAGCTGGACAATGATGTCAGTGAATCAACTAGGGCTGTGCAATTAATCGTATGCGATTGTCATGTGCATCTCGTCAGTAAAGCCGGTTCCGTGATTAGTAGTAAATCTCCATCACCTGCTTTCAGATGGAGCGGCATTCACTACCCTGGCGGTGCGTTCCAAACGGGATATATCGCCCTCCGAAGGGCACTTCGGAGTGAAAACAATCATGGCCACCATATTGAAGGGTCGTTCCAAACCGAAGTGCTCAAAACTGGCCACTTCAAAGGGCCCTTCGAAATGAAGGATTTCGAAGGGTACAACTGATGGACACTTCGGGCTCCCATGATCCTTTGCGCAGATTCTTTGCATGATGACGGCGCCTCCGTGTGGGCACGTGATGATGACGCAGAAGGGCACTTCAAGAAACAGTTGTTTGGTCCCCTACACCTTTCAACCCTTCGAAGCTCTCACTCCGGAGGGTAAACCTTTTGAAGGGATTAGGGCATAGGGATGAGCCCTTCCGAATGGAACACAGGGAGAGTCATTCGATTATGAACGCCATATTGCCCTGCTTGTCAGTGAACTACGGCTCTGTGTATTAAATGCCGCTCCATCTGAAAGCAGGTGATGCCGATTTACTACCAATCACGGAACCGGCTTTACTGACGAGATGCGCTTGACAATCGCATGCGATTAATTGCACAGCCCTAGAATCAACGATGAACTGCCTTTAACTGAAAAATTGACTGTTTACTATTGTCCTCTTTTTAGAGCTGCTTTACAGCAGAATTCAATTTTGTTTTGCATTGACACATTATTTTTCTGTTTAACACTGTAAAGCTGCTTTGACACAATCTGTATTGCATAAATCACTATATAAATAAAGGTGACTTGACTATTAAAATGAAAATACATTGTGCCAACACGGAAACAGTTATTTGTCATTTTTAGTTACTTTGCTTTAAAGCAAACTGCTCTGATTTCACTTGATTTTCACATTTGCCAGTACGAGCAGCATCCTCAATGTTCAATAGAAATAAAGACTCCAGGATTTAATCGTATCACCTTGCAAAATCATGTATAAATATAAAAAAAATACTATGGAAATATAATGCTATTTCGTTCCATTTATGTACACTACTGTTCAAAATTAGTAAGATTTTTTTCAAGTGACATTACAGATATTTATAATGCTACAAACGTTTTCAATTTCAAATTATTCTAAACACTAGTTACACCAAATACACAAAATAATGATCTTTAAAAAAGCATCATATGACCCCTTTAAAATAATCCTGAAAAAAAGTATCACCGTTTCCACAAAAATATTAAGCAGTGTTTTCAACACTGATAACAATAAGAAATGTTTCTTGAGTAGCAAATCAGCATATTCAAATGATTTTTAAAGGATAATGTGACACTGAAGACAGAAATAATGGCTAAAAATTTAATTACATTTTATATCAAAATAGTATTAGTACTATTTTATAGAAGTATTAGTATTTAAAATATATTAAAACAGTTTCTTTAAATTGTGATAATATTTCACAATATAACTGTTTTACTGTTTCTGATCAAATAAATGTATCCTTGGTGAGCATAAGAGCAGAGAACGGTAGTGTATATACACTGTATTCAAAAAATACATTAAATTGTACTACAAAAATATGTCATACTACTAATAATAGCCATTACATATTAATAAATAATATTACATTACAAATATTCAAGACGGGTTCAAAAACATAACAAAACAAAACAAAATGAATGAAAAATAGACAAAAATAGACCAGCAAAGTGGACAAAAATCTTAGCCCGTTTTCAACCCCAAATCTTTATGGAGTTAATTCTGATCATGAATGACACATTGACTCACCTCTGCTGAAATGCATGAGGTCTGGAGCAGTTTGCTTCTGTTCTGTTGACGGCTGCAAAATCGGAGCCTCCTGCTAACAGCTTCCTGATCCGACTCAGGCTTGTCCACAATAATCTGAAGATCAACATTCACACAATTCATATTCAAACTAATTAATATATGATTATTAAAGCGGCAATTCACCGATGGCTTTTAAATAAAACTTGGCTATATAGGCAGTAAAAAGCTTAGCCTAATTTTTTTAAAACCTTCATGTTGTAACGCAGTTATTCTGACCCAGAAAGGATCTTCTTTTCCTGAAAATGCTAATGTTATTGCTAAATCTACTGACTTTGCTGATAATTCTTGTACTTTTCTGTGATTTTTTCCCCACCTTGTTATATGATATTCCCGGTCAAAGGTTTTTTTTTTTCTTTTTTCTTTTTTATAACTTTTGTGGCTCATTGATCTGAGCTAATGCACCTCAGTTTTTTTTCCAAATTATTATTATTATTTTTTTATTACTGAAGCGCATAAGTTTAATGAGGCCTAAGACCAATGAGTTCCTAAAAAAAAAACCTCTGGGCTTTCTATAAACATAGCTCTACTGAAAATCTTCTTATTATCAGTGTTATATTAATGTAAAAGATAACATACCCCTTCTCTCGATGACGGTGTCCCTGAGGGTGCCACTTCTTAAGCAGAACCCACACATCACAAGATAAAGATGCTGGATCTAATACACAAAGACATACCAAAAATATTTTTGGTAAAACGATAACAGGTGCTTTATATTACGAGCTTTATAGTAATCACTTAGAGTATCATTTTTCTACAAACAGCACATCTGAAATATTTACCTGTATCTCTGCTTTTCTTTTCCGGGGTGGGCTGTTTTCTCATCTTGGCGAAAAGTCTCTCGCATTCTCTGCATCTTACAGTATTGACAGGACGACAGGGTGAGCTGGGACCCGATTGCACTGTGAAATCAGTACCGGATTCGTCCAAAATAGACTCAAGCTCTGCTCGAGACTCAATCTCGATCTTGGTCTCAGAGGTATTAGCCCTAAACCTGAGTTTCTCTAGTGTGTCCTCGGCCATTGCACCTGGAGCCAGGGAGATCTTCTGAACCGTCCCATGTTGTGGTTCCACAACAGAAAGCGGCCTCTCATCTTTTCTCATGCGATATGATAAACCAGCTCTACTCTTCCTTACTGGCCGCTTCAGATCACGGATAACAGACACATGATCTTTTATTTCTTCCACACTGTCTGACTGACTAGAGTCAGTGTCACTCAACACCACAGAGATGCTCTCAGAGTCCTTCACATGTTCTCGCTGATGAAGCCGTCGGCTTCTCAGGACTGTGCTGCGTCGCAGTTTCATAGAGACAGATTTGGTAGTAACCTCCCTGAGAACCAAGATGTTCACCTTGATGAAGAATTAGAAAAATTAAACAATTTATATGCAAACAACATCATATGCAAGTTACTAAGCAAAACACCTCTTTTAGATCATGTTTTTTGACTTGAGTGATTTCTACCTCACTGTAGAATCCTGACTCTTGTCTTGGAGGAAAGTTAGTGAGGTAGTGGTAATTTGCCCTGAAAACAATTGCCATCAATAACTAAATCGCAGTTTGTTTCATAACCAATTAGTCACTACAGTTCTGGTCACAAATCTAAACAACATAAATAAAAACTAGCACCTTTGATTCACTAATGCCCAATAATTCTTTCTAACCCTGTTGAAAAAACCAGCATATGTTGGTTAGGTATGTTTTGACGCTGGGATGCTGGTTTAAGCTGGTCCTTTGCTGGTTTATGCTGGTCCTTTGCTGGTTTAAACTGGTCCTTTGCTGGTACTTTGCTGGTTTAAACTGGTCCTTTGCAGGTTTATGCTGGTCCCCAGCTTAAGGACCAGCGTCAAAACATACCTAACCAGCATATGCTGGTTTTTTCAACAGGGAGGGAAGCAGCTTACTAGTTACATAGTGTAACGTTACTGAGATGTCTTCAGCTCTCTGCTGAAGAAACATTAATTCAAATAACTTAAGTAATAGGATTGTGTGTAATGTGTTAATTAAACAATCTCCTCACAAATAGCATATTGTCGTCCTTTTACTCGAAAAATGTAACGTTATATTTGTAAGATCACGTTGTTCGTTTTGGTTTGCCTGACTGTCTCGTGAAGCAACGGCACTCTTTGAATAACCATAACACATATTTCTTACTCTCTCTCGAAATGTCGATAGTCTGTTTGCTGTAATAACATGTCCAACATGTCCATCGCTTTAAACCCGAGTCCGCAGCGGATCCGCAGTTTTCTGTTTACCTCAGTACCGCAGCAGGGCTGTTCGCGCGCGATCACTTTTTTTGAGCCAAGCCTCGCGCGATCTATCATCAACCGGAAACTGTAGTTCAGCTGGGGCAGCCATAAGAGAGCGCTGCAGGCTAATTTTAAATTATGTTAGCCTCCAGAAAGCCAACATTTAGGCAAAATCCGTTTTTTTTTAATAGTTTCCTTAATCTGAGCGGTTCAAGACTTGGCTACTTTTCGTAAATTTGCCACCTGAACACACACAAAAAAAGAGGACTCGATTCAACAAAGTTAAGTGAAAATTTGTCATTTGTGCCAAAAGATGGGCACCCATAGGAAATGAATGGGAAATACTAAAATTCAAAGCATTTTTTTTTATTTGTCCAACAAAAATCAATAAATCCAACACAATGCAGATCATACATACACATAAATGAAGGGGTGAGTCTATACAACATTCTCAATGTGGCAAACACACACGCACAAACCCATATACAAAGCATTGAATGAGCCTATAACACAGCAAGTTTTACATTTTTTTTTATTTTGTCAAATAATAACAGTCTCTGACACTTACAAGAAAAAAAGAACTGAATGAGACAATGACTGAGTTTTTTTTTTGTGCCACTCAGCCACTGTGACTGTAAGCATATTTTGGCATCTTTGTATAGTCTCACCCAACACTAATGTTTTTTTTTTTATTCTACACTTTTAACTTGTGATACAATCTAAAACTTAAGAGGTTAAGTTCATTACAACAATGGTTTTTTGATTTCAGCCTATATGCAGCCATTGAGTACTACAGCCATATAGTGGCTATTGATATTTTTATATTTTTATACCATATGTCACCAAAAGTTTAGGTTTTGGCTGTCTAAACTTACTGGAATGATTTTCATTACTTAAGTATACCAAAATCCCACAAGTGTACCAAAAATCACACAAAAAACTGCATAAATTGATCGTTTTTATTTTATCGAAGACAGTGATATGACATTTATTGAAGAAGAAAAAATCGGGATCACAGTTGAGACCTTCGTGCCCAAATTTGTCCATGAAGGACAAATTAAGGGTTGCTATACGAAGGATGCTTGAGGGTTAAACATTAAATTAGTCTTTTTCTGACACTAACATTTCTGACTCTTACTCCTAGAGCTTTCAAGCTCCCATCAGTCGGGTCAGTCTGCCTTCAAATCTCAAAATTCTATGATTTAAGTTTCTCTGTGAACTTTTTTTTTTACCTAGTTCAAAAATTAAATCACAAGGTATTAGGTAAAGGTATTATATTCAGTTCTCTGAAGACACATAATGCTGAACTTGTTTAAGTTAAGATTTTTTAAATAATCACACTTTGTATGTCCCATGTCACATTATAACATCAAAAACAACAACAACAACAAACAGAAAATACGGCCATGAAAAGTCATGATTAATTAGATGTAATTACAGTTTATTTGTCTGTGGTCATACAAATGCTTAATGGAGACTAAAATACAGTACTTTCCTTCAAAAGTAGTAATTTGACATAAACATGAGAAACAACAGGACAAAATGAAATAAAAACAGCCAGAACTCGCACACTCGACATCTCTACTGTCATTGTCCAAAATGAAGACAACTTCAAATGCCCTTTTGCTCTTCAAATGTCTTAGATTGAAACCTGTAGCAAAAGGCAAAACATTTTCTCTAACAAATGTATTTAGTCAAGCTAAGTTCTCTTGATTTTCTTCATTAACTGACCTCTATGAAATGAACAAAAAACAATTCTGATTTTAACCTTTGTTTTCACCTGAAAAATAAAATCACTAAAAAATGATTCAAATGCATGATTTGCCAATCTATAGAACTGCACGTGCTTGGCTTTGCCATGAGTTAGAATGTTGCATGTTTGCATGCAAAGAACAGATTATAAGTTAATTTTACATATGACTTTTATGAGGCATTACATTTTGTACTGTATGTTTCTTTAAATAAGAAGCACCTGTTAAATAACACATTTCAGAGTAGTTTTATAATGTAATAACAATGTATAGGATAATGTTAAGTCTCAAAGCTTACAGTAATATAACACAGCCTTTTGTTTTGTTTAATTAGAGACATGGTACAGATCAAACTATAAGTGCTCTATAGACACACAACTGAAACACCAATTTAAATAAAATAAACATATTTCTATGAACATAAAATTATAAATTATTTAAATGAGTTAGCCAACCCAAAATGATAATTAAAATCATGTAAAGTGTTTCTGTTGAAATTAAATATATTATATTAGTTAATTGCATTTTACAGTTCTTAAATTAGAATTGTGTAATTAAAGGGATAGTTCACCCAAAAATGAAAATTTGCCGTTTATCTGCTTACCCCCAGGGCATCCAAGATGTAGGTGACTTTGTTTCTTCAGTAGAACACAAACGGAGATTTTTAACTCAAACCGTTGCAGTCTCAATTGGGAGTGTCAATGGTCCATTTGAGAGATAGGTGGCGGTAATGCACTTATAAGTCTGCGATCC